GGGTGGGGTTTCTGCGGGGGTGGCTTCTCTCAGTTCTGCATTTCTTCCAGCGGGGCTGTAAGCACATGCAAAATCCTTGAACAGGCTTATTGGGAGCTAACTGAAGTATGTTTCCATCTGAAGCCTTAGTTCAGGGCAATCTGGAGCCACCTGCTCTGCTGGGGACATGGCTGTGCAGGCAAACCGTGTCCGTGTGTGTGGTGTTTGAGAAAAGATCTGAACCCATTTGTGCCATGGCCCCCACTTAGTGCAGCTGTTCCTGCAGATGAGCTACAAAAGGGTGCTACTGAGCTGCTGCAGCCAAGTTCTGTTTTCAGAAGATGCACTGTCAGGTCAGTGGCTTCGTCAGGGCGCTCGGACTCTGGAGAGTGGAATTGTTGGGAGAGAGCACAGGAAAATTGCAGAAGCCCAGCATGTGGTGAGATCCACATGTGACCAGTGCCACAAGGAACTCACACCTGCAAGGCTTCCAGGCCAGCTGCCATCTGTCTCTCCTTCTTCTCCATATAACAGGGTGCTTTCACAGTCTGTGGACTCCAGAGGGGATGCGGTGTGTTGTTTACACATATATAAATATTACAGGATGTATGTGCTGACTGCAAATGCCTTTTTTTGGGGATTAGGTGCTGACCATCTTTTCAGCCTCAAACTACTATGAGATTGGCAGCAACAGGGGAGCCTATGTGAAGCTGGGACCAGACCTCATCCCCCACTTTGTTCAGTACCAAGCAAACAAGACAGCCCATATGCTCACTATGACCCAAAGGCAAGACTTTCTAGTTGCTCTCTATTTGCCAAGTCAAAATTCCCAAAGGGAAAACTTAGTGAACTTTTAGAATGTTTGACTCTGGAGATGAACTGTCACAGCTTGATTTTCTAAAGAATAGCTCAACAGGGGGGACTAAGCTTCGTACTTGAAGTTACTGAGGAAAGCTCAAGGGTTGAGAAGGGATTGTTAAAAAAATTCTAAGGGGATTTTTCTAAAGCTTGCTGATTTTTTCAGCTCCTCTTTTCCATGTCAGGTTTTAACTTTTGACCTTTGAGGTTCTCTTTTGATTGTTACTTCACAAATTAATTCAGGGACTCATGGCATCAGCTGCAGGGAACTGCGCCCTGGGCACGCAGTGCCTTGTCACAAGCTCTGAGATGCAGCTGTAGCTGTGCAGGGCAGTTGTGTGAGGGTCTGGGCAATCCATGGACAAGTCAGGTAGAGCACTGGGGAGGGAAGGTGCAGTTTTTCTTGTGATTCATAGCAAGTCATTCAAGTGCTTCTCTCTCTTCTGCATCCTCCAGAATCAGCAGAGTAGAGGAGTCAGCCTTTCGAGCCTTGCGGGAAAAGCTCTTTGCTCACACCTCAGCCCTCATCAGTGCCTTCAAGTCCTACGATGGGGACAATACAGGTAACTCAGAGCTGAGGGATGTGTGGGTTCATTGCCTGGTCGGATAGGGCTGAAGGGACTACGTTGAGTTTGTGGCTGCTGGGGAGACTGCTCACTGACAGCTGTCACCAGCTGTCATGGGGAGGCTGTATGAAACCTTGCCAGAGGTCGTTTGCTGTTATTCAGTCTCTGTGGATGCCTTGCAGTGACACCATCAAGTGGGGGTGCTGGAAAAGCAGGATGTCATTAGTCTAAGGCGGAGTAATTGAGGCTGGTCCTAGAAGAACTCCTTGCAGCTGAAGTACTGATGAAGCCTTGGGAAAAATGACCTGGAATGTGTCTGTTTTGTCACTAGAGAAGGGCTAGGTTGTCTCTAGAGCCCCTTCATCCCTGGAGTCTAAAATCACTGGGAAGAGGAAAGAGGGATGCCTTAGATTGCAGTTGTGTCTGTCAGAGCCTTAAGGGAGCTGAGTTCTTACTTCTGTGACAGACAGGAGTGCTGTGTTGGTGCAGTGACCAAGAGGTGTTGCTGAGAACTGTCCACCGGTGGGCTGGGGGAGAAAAGGGATATGCTGGCTGGCAGAACTGCTCATGGGGAGAACTGTGTTCTTGCTTTCTTCCCTGTCAGCAAAACTGTTCATAGGAACCCAGCTCAATTGTTACAACAGCTGCTAAAATGGGCAGTGGGCTGTGAACTTCTAATGAAATACCAAAGTTAGTGCCTTGCATTTGTTCAGATGTTTGCAGCCTCTCAGCCTTGATTTGTTGCAATGATGAAAACCTTGCTGAGGCTTGGGTGGGAAGTGTGCGTGTGCCTGCACTGCGAAATAATGCTGTGCTGTCAGCAGCACCTAGACTATGTCTCACTGTTTTAGGCCTTGTCTTTGCCTTCATGTGCTTTCCACTGCCTGTGTCCCAGAGCTGTCTCCCTTTTGTGCACAGGAAGGATCACTCTGAGCAACTGGGCGACAGCAGTGGAGTCGGTGCTGCGGCTGGGACTGCCCTGGAGAATGCTGAGGCCGCAGCTGGCGCGCAGCACTGAGGACGGCATGCTGGAGTACAAATCCTGGCTGGATGACCTGGCCATGGAGCAGAGGAGCCAAGAGGTAAGCACTCAGCCCCTTCCATCAAAGCATGATGTGAGCAGCTGCTCACCAGATCCCCAGCACGTACAAATCAATTGTAGTACAAAAGGACAGTGGATGGTTCCTCCATAACCTGAAATCACACTGAAGTTGATAGGAAGTCTTGCCTGAGCTCAAATAGTCCTGAGGCACCCAGTCCATTTTTACAAAGAGATGGTGGATGTGAAATGAAAATTTAGAGGTAGTTTTGGATGCAGGCTTGTGAGCAGGAAAACTGTACTACACTCTCCAATTGGCAGTTTGTTAATTTTGCCCAGCAAATGCAGCTCTGCAGTGGTTATAAAATGCAGCCTGGCTCGCTGTTAGCCCAGAAGAGCACTGTTGGGAAGGGACAAGCTGCTGATGGTCTGTTCTGCAGCTGCACAGAGGGTCCAGTCATCACACACCTGGTTGATAAGGCACTGCTGGCAAGTTCTTGAGAGCAAAAAATATTCTTGCTTGTGGAGACACCTGCAATAACAACTCAGAGAGAGCACAGGTGTTAGAAAGATAAAAACTGATTGTGTCTTTCAGCACATCCAGTCAAGCTTGCTGGAAGTCATTTATCGAAACAGATCCAACTTAGAGACCATATTCAGGATCATAGACAGAGACCACTCAGGTAAGCAGGCGTGCAGGGGCTGTTGATCACTGCCTTCTGTGATCCCTTGTGCTTTGGAGTTTCCTTCAGTATGTCTAGAAGTGCTTTTATTTAGGCTTGGGTCCTCCTGCTCCCTCCCACGCTTCAGAAATGTCCATTTATATTATGCCTCTTTGCTGCTTTAAGCAGTGTTTTAGCCGGCGTCCTCCACATTAGGAGATGTAGCTGCGACATGCAAAATGCTCCTCCCACAGGTCTCATCTCCTTTGAGGAATTCCAGCAAACCTGGAAGCTGTTCAGCTCCCACATGAACATTGAGCTGACGGATGATGGCATTAACGACTTGCTTCGCAGCATTGACTTCAACAAGGACGGGAACATTGACTTCAACGAGTTCCTGGAAGCCTTCCGCCTGGTCAAACAGTGCCCGTCGTGAGAACCTGCCGAGAGCTGCCGCGTCCCATGATCTCCACAGAGCCAGGACTGTCCCACCTAACCTGGAGTGTGCCTGCACATGGCAAGCAGGGAAAGGGAAGGCAGGTGCCCAAAACAGACATCCCTGTAGGCAACAGCTGTGACCCATCTGGGGAAGCTGACAGGTGAAATAGATGAACTGCACTCCAGTTCAGACTGCTTTTACAAGAAGCTGTGTTTTAAATAGTTTCCTGCTCAAAGGGAAGATGCAACTTAGGTTTTCTTGTCAGTGTGAGGAAATGTTACAGGTGTATTCAAGAGCAGTAAAGTGGAAGCAATGTATTACTTGTAGGCAGTGTTTTTAAGGAAGTAGCACCTGTTTGATCACAGATTTCCTTTTAATAAACCATTTTTTCTAGACTGCTGTTGCTTGGCTGTTTATTTCTTCTCTAGTTAACTCTGTGAGCAGCAGTGCTGTTCCAGTGATGACACCTACTTCCCTGCTGGTGTTCCTTTGCTGTGGTAAGCTTGTTCTGGAAGTTTGGAGCTACTAATTACACATAGTAGAGCTGAATGTTGGGAAAAATACCTCAAATGTGCAACACTGTCTTTAGTAGGGGGACTTGTTTAAAAAAATCTATGGAGATAATTTCATTCTCAAAGCCCAGGGCAGTAGACCAAGTAGCTAGGGAGCCTTGTGCTGCAGGTTCATTATTTTCAAAGCATGGTAGGACTCCAGCTTGTGAAGTGGGGTGGAATGTGAAGAGTTTGCAAAACAGAAACTATGTGTTTCTCAAATACAACCAGCAGTCTAGCAGGGGCCCCATGGCAGAAGACTTAAGACTGCTACCCCAGCCCCCAAAAGAGAATTCTGGCCTCACTCAATTTCCTACAGAGCTCATTGCCCAGTGCAGACAGTTTACTAACTGGAACTATGCTTCCAAAAGGAACCTAATCCTGTTCCCCTTTATCTAGAGTTGCACATATGCTTTTTCAATTGTAATGGAATCATGCTTCCACAGACACTCTCAAATGCCCAACAGGGGTACCAGCACACTGCAGCTGTATTTCTATTCTTCCATCCTTTAAATGTAATAAATAGAATTAATTTTGATGGCTAATGAACAAACTGATGTTGCCCCTTCCACGTTTGTTTCTGATGTACAAACTCCTACTGCTGAAAACACTGTTTTTGTTCCAGTTATTTTCAGTGGCTTCGGTACTGAGGGGAAAAGCAGGTCACTCTCCATGGCATGGGGTGAGCAGGTAGCTGCTCTGCAGCACTTGCTGCCAGGTGGGATCTAGGGGCCACACTTTTCATCTTGGTTTGGGGACTGAGGCTACCAAGCAGCTCTGTGACACTGATTTTGACAGCCTGTCACCTTGCAGTGCCTAGAGCAGAGTGAAGTGCACTTACCTGGAGCTGGGAGCAGCATCACTGCTTTGCTGATGTCACTGAAAGCCAATAGCACACACCACTTATTACAAAGTCAGACTGAATTTATTACTCTTGGGTGATTTAAAAAAAAGGCAGAAGACAACATCCAGACATACTGTTACTTAGAGGGGCAGCAAAGCTTTGTATTATTCATATATGTAAAGTGATCAAAACATAACCTTCAGATCCTTGCAGTCCAAAGGAAGGACAGAAACTGGAAACATGAACTTTCTGGAGCTTGCCCCAGTAATCGACTGGTATTGCAGAGAACAACACAGTTACAGCAACAAACATCTCTGTAATGATTTAAGTTAGCTGTTTACACAATGGTGCTACTTGATTGTTCTGACAGAAACATGGAAGCAGGCTAAGCTTTCACAAACCGAGTCGTTAGCGAAACAATCCCCTCGGCACTGCATTTTTTAGGACAATGCTTTTGTAAAAAAAGAAGAAAAAAGGAAAAAATGTACAATAGTACATATAGTTTTATAGTAAAATGGTATCTGAACAGATTCAGTTTTCCTTCTTTTGTTAAAGCATATACAGCTTTATAAAATATAAACCTTCCAAAGGTCAATTTTAAAAGCTTAGAAGAGGCTTTGCTAATTCTAGAAGTAACAGACAAAAAACCATTTTTCTCCTACACGATATCTGTTTTATTTTACCTCAACAGTTTTAGCCTTGGAAGGTGAGCCATGAACTCCACTACCACGTTCTGTGTAAACCTCCACCAGTCAACTGAAGACTCCCCCTCGGATGGGAATGCTCTCGTTCAGCCCATGTTCTATTAGCTTGATGTCCTCCAAGTCATCCTTGATGATGCTGATTAGGTGACTCAGCCCTTCTTGCTGCTGCTTCAGGTGCTGCAGACAGTTCAGAAAGCAGAGTGAGTATTGTTCAGCTTCACAGACTTATTAGGTAATATTTCTCAAGTGTCATGGCTGGTGGCATTGGCACATTGATAATCCTGGCATCATTTCTGTGAGGAAGGAATAACAGCATTTCCTGTACTAACAGCCTGTCTCCACAGAGTGGTTTTGTACAACAGCTTGGTGCCCCAGCACTGAGACCAATTACAAGGATGACTTCACCAAACAAGGCAACATGACATTCTAGATCCAGTCAGTGTGTGTCTGGCTTAAATGATCAAGCTCAAAGTGTAGGCCAGGGTCCTACCCAGTAACACTTACTTGTTTGATTTCCCTTAAGAGGTCTGCATCTATGTAATAGCGCTCTTCAGCCCGCACTGCTCCAAAGTGGTTCTGCATCCTGATCTGGGACATGAGCTCATTCAGTCTGCCCTGGGAAGAGAAACAGGCTTAAATCAAACACATTTACAGCAGCCACAGCTCCAGCATCTACCATTTCTTGAGTCTCCAGGACTGGAAGCATTGCTGCTCATTCAATTTTTACATGTTCTGGAAGACATGCAAAGGGTAAGCGACTCCATTATTTCCAAGAACTCAAAACTACTGAAATACCTATTGGCTATTCAGCAAAGAGCATGATGCTACAACCTACTCACGCTGCCACACTCAAAGCCTTCCACAACCAATATACACACATTTTGGAAAACTGACCTGTTTTCAGTGAGGAAACCCCAGAGGTGTTAGCCAAACGCTGTCAGCCACTCACCTTGAACTGCGTGGGTGCGTTAAGTTCACACTGAATGGTATCCAGCTGTACACGAAGCTGCTCCTCATCTGCTTGAATGGCATAACCACTTTTCCTTTGGATCTCCTGCTTTATTAGCACCTACAAAAGAAGCCTTTGACGTTCATTAGAGAACACTTGGCCCGTCCTTCTTCCCACCAGCCTATCTCTACATATTTTTGCCCTTCCTCCAGCCTGCTTCTCACTGGATTTGTTGTGTCATTTAGTCTGCTGCTCTAAGACCTCAGGGCAGTCCTGTGGTTTTGGGTAAGTGAGAGATGGTTCCCAAGTATGGCAGACCTGAGCTTTCCCTGACAGCTCTGCCTGGCACTTACATGAACACCTGTTAGCTGAAATCAGAATAATTTTCAGCACTGGCCTGCACAAGATGGAACAGGTTCTTCTCCCCTCTGAGAGAGCTTGTGGCACTAGACTGTGTCAAAGGACTTCTTTAGATTATCCCTGTTACCTGCAAGGTCCTGTGCGAAAGCGCCATCAGTTTCCTTTTGTACTGTGCAATTTTTGCCATAGTCGTCGTTTGGTTTTTCTGCAGCTCGCTGATATCTTCTGATATTATCTGCAGAGGAGATGGGAGTCAATTGGAAGCCAGAGAAGTTTTTGATAACAGAACAAGGTAGGCCTGATTTAAAACTGGGAGCTTTGTGACACTACACCACCCAGCAACTTGGTGTCCTTGACCCAGATGATTTTAGAAAGCTTTCTTCTACCTCTACTGTTCTGCTTTGTGTTTATTTTCACACACAACTGGGATTTTCAGAAGGCACTGGAGAATTGGTTGCCCAAAGTTAAAAGTCTGTGCCAATAGACTTAATGGAGCTGGTGTGGATTAGCCTGTAACAGAACCTGAAACAAATGAAAGCCAAACCACTCTGCCCAGTTTTTGGGCAAAGATCTATTTAAGGGATATATTAAGAACATGGCTCACATTTCTGTTTTGAACACACAGGGGCAGGTGCATTTAACAGCACATCCTTTTTCAACAGCAAGTCATGCTAAAGATGAGCAACCTTACATCTAATCGAGTTTGATGCTGTTTGGTCATCTGATCCTGGACCTTCAATCTTCTCAGCAGTTCCTTGAAACCCACCATTGGCACAGGAATAAGCCTAGGAGAACACAAACATTTCTTACAACGTGTTTTTATACTGGACACATCAAACACGGTAAGGGTTAAGAATTATGAACAGAATCTAATATAAAGTCACAGATTATGTTAATTTTTATAAATTAATACAGAACCATATCTTCTTTTGCTAAGTTCTAGAGTCCTCGCTATTCCCAACAACCTGTTCCTTTTTCATAAAGAAACCAGCCCAATTTATCTGTAAGCACTGGAGGGTACAAAGGTGCAGCACCTTCAGCAAGAAAGGGCTGCAAAAAATAAGTCACAATAACTAATCCATGTAATGGAGGACACCACACCTCCAAGGAACCCAAGTAAGACTCTTTATCCTGACAGCTCCTAAGCACCTAAATGGGTAAAGGGATTAAGACAGGCACTTGCAGTAATCTTCACTGCTTTCAAGGGGATCAGCACTTGGCCAAGTTGTACTCAAGCAACTTTCTTGCAAGTTACCCGAAGGGTACTATGCAATTTTTATCTCCTTCTCCCCTGTCCAAGCCTTGTTGCAATTTTTCAATACTGAGACAGACGATTTGACTTACTTATCAGGATCTGGATTATCAACTTTGGCTTGTTCCCATATAATAGGATCAACACCTGAAAAAAAAAAAAAAAGATTTTTAGTATGAGTATCTGAGAGATGTTACAGCTGCTAAATATAACAAAAATGCTGTGCAATACACAAACCCTATAAACTATGCTAACCCAAATGCCTGTTGCACAAATTAAGGTTAATTAAACTAGGGGAGTTCTTTAAAAGTCCTGGTCCTGTGCAGGGGCAGTGAATTCAGACCAAAGGCTGACAAGCACTGGTTTGAAAGCAGGGGAAAGGAATAACCCATAGGTGCTCCCACTGGATAATCCATACTTTAAAGGCAGAAATTCCTACTGTTCCCACTATATGCAACACTAGGGTCATTTGTCCTTTTGAATTTGCTTATTGTGTGAAACAAACAAATATTTAAAAAATCAGTAACTACATAATCACAGTACCAAATCAGAGATACAAATCAGTTGGCAAAATAACCCCAGTAGGAGTTAGCTCTGACTTTTCTGCAAAACTAGGCCCAGTGCCTTTTCAAATCCAGATTTCATAACCATTCATATCCTACATGGACATATATAAAAACTATAGACACAAAGGTAAGTCATCTAATCAAATGACATGAAAAGCCCTTAACTACTCTAAAACAAAGCTGTCTGTGGCCACACAGGCAAGCTAAGAGAGCCATCTGAAAACTGCAAGTGAGTACAGGACACAATTACTCTGATTTGGAACTTTTCTTTTTTCTTATTCTTTTCACAGGTGTTTTCCAGCAGGCTGACACCAGCTTTTTTCCCGGAGAGCCCAAAAGGCCCAGCCCACGCACCGGCAGGAGGGTTCTGCAGGAGCTGCTTGACTTGTGCTGGGGACAGCTCTGTCCTGGCCATGGACAGGCTGACCCCCAGCTGCTGCAGGGATGATTTGATGTTGGCTTGCTCGAAGTGGGCGTAGAGGGTCGTTGCGGGAACTCTCCTCGAGGTGCCATTGGGGGAGCGCTCCACAATGTAAATGATCACTTCTGTCCTGAGCGAGGCAAAATGGGCAATGTCAGGAAAGGCCAGCAGCACGAAGGAGGTAACACAATACATAACCACCCAAAATCCAAGCTATCACTTCTCCCAGCTGACCTTTAACTTCTTTAGCCAAGTGAGAAGTAAAGTATCAGTATCTGCAGGGTTTAACACAGCAAGGGAGAGAGAGAAAAGCTGTAAATACCATTACATTCTCTGCTCTCCCCAGTTTTACCAACCATATTCTATGGTGATACTACTAGTACATTAAGAATAACCTAAAATCTGGAAAGGTACTGGACTTAATGCCGTAAGAAAAAACATATGAAGGAATAAGAGATACAAATCAAATCCAGGATGAAGAGATCTAAAATCAAGGAGAAGGGGAGACAGTAGACTCAGGCACCAACCCTTTCTAACATGCAATAAATGGGCAACCCTGTGGGAATTTCACGTACTGGTCATCGGGCATCGTTTTAACACCTTCAACATTGACAGTGAGGGTCTGGTTTCCCCCCAAAATTTTGTGTAGTGATTCTACGAGCTGCTGCTGCTGGCTTCGAATATCTGCTTCTTTTCTGTTAAACACCAAGACCACGAGGCCATCTTCATCTTTGTTGTTGGGCATTAAACTGTAACCCACAGCCTGCCAAGGAACAAATGAAAAATGAAGGTATGTTACTTAGCAAATGCATATCCTTGTGGCATGAAGGGAAGGGGCTAAATCACTCAATTTTTAGAGCAACCGGTTCAAAATTTAACTCACAATTTATTCAGAGCTGCACAAACATAAAATCAATCCCTTTTTAAATCAATCTCTCACACAGCCATCAGTACAGCAGCTTTTGAAAGAGTTTGGGTTTTTACAAAAAGTTCCTAAGTATCCTTTTTCCATCAGGGGAGTTGCCAACACAGCAGAGCTGACAGCAATCAGGAATGTTTTACAAACTGACCCTTTTTCCAAATTGCAAATGGAACCAGAGGATCAGACTTCATTACAAGCAAAAGCAGAGTGGCAGCTTTCACCTCTTGCCTGTCAGCTGTCACCCCAAGCTGGCACTGGTGACAGGGTGGAGAGCAAGGGCTTTGTGAGGCCCTGACACTGCACGTGGGTGGGTGACCTGCAGCTTTCCCCTCGTGCAAGTCCAGCTGAAGAAAGGAATGAGCTGGGGATGTGCTCAGGAGCCCGGTTCTGTGGGCAGAGGGTAATCCCTGCCATGGTGAGCCTCGCAGAACCAGCCATCCTGCCATGGAGCACAACAGCAACAGCAAAGGAAGAATTTGTTTTTAAGCACATGACACCTCTGGTATTTCTGTTTTAAATAAATAACTCTTCCACAATCTCTTTATGCAACACAGCGTTTCAAACTAGAACAGATGTATCTTACTTCACTGTGCTCCTTCAAACAACAGCCTGTAACATACACCTTAGCAGCATGCATTTCTTGGTCTGGAGCTGCCTGCTTCTCATGTGTCCTAGAGCTGGAATTGTGTACAAGTGGAACCCTTCATGTAATGCTTCTTTCTTATCTGAAGCTGGGTGTCTCCAGTAACCAAAATAGCTTATGATGCTCTGTTCCTATCCCTGTGCCACCTTCTCCCCTATTTTTTGCAGGCATCTTCCACTGGTGGCACAGATGGAACTCGTCACTATTTCACTTATGGCACGTGAATTCATGGCATTAGAAACGCTCCAGTCACAGGGACAAGAGTAAACATAGGACCTGGTATTGTGTAACCTGAAGACTCTTCTTTTTAGTAAATTAAACTCTAAAATAATCGATTTTGCATCACACAACTTATAATGGGCAATTTTTCAAAGCTCAGAAACTGTGAAAGCAATTTCAGACAACAGCTTACAAGAAAATAAACTTTCAGGTGCATTGCCAATAAAATGTTCAAGGTAACACTGAAAAAGGCGATGAAACAAAACCAAACATTTGTTAGGCAGGCACAATTGCTGCAAAAATGTTGCAGAAGTCTCACAATGTACATAATCAACACTAGACTTAATTCAGCATTAACCTACATTCAGGACACAAAGTTTGCACTCCAAAGGATCAGCTCAGGGAAGGAGGGTATCACCACGCCTGCCCCAAATCCCTTGACAAGCCTGAGGCTTAGCAAGACAGTCAGCAGGGGCAGGATTTGCAGAGGATGCAGAGCCACGAATTTGTCAACATGAGAAGCAAGATCTGGAACTGCTGACGAGTCCACGCAGGGAATGGAGTCAGCATGAGCTCTGGCAAGGATAAAGGGTGGTGGATTTTAAACCTGGCACAGGGTTATTTTAATCTAGACAAACAAGGAAGAAAAACCCTGAAGGTCTTATTCCAAATGTTCACGGTTTCTTTCAGACAAGAAGGTTATTTTTAATTGTTTCTGTCTTATTGTAACATACACAGACACACATTAAAATTAATTTCCATAGATCTGTTTGAAGTACACACACACTAACCTGAATGCTAGCACATGAAATTGTTACTTTCATGCTCCACATCTGGGCTCATTATCTAGTCCCTCCACACCACCCAGATTTCCAGCATCTTCCAACCTTTTAATGAGTATGCATCAGAACTGTGCAGATTACCTGGAAAAATACTGTTTCAGAATACTCTTACCAGGGACAAACTGGTTTAACACCCACGAGCCGCTCGGGCTCAGCAGAGAAAGGGCACTGGCGCCCTCTGTGGGCAGCTGCACCATGCCATACCTTGAACCTGCAGAAGGGGTTTTCCTGCGTGAACTCCACGGGAGCGATGTTGTTGTTGAAGTACCCTTTGCCCGTGCCCCAGAAGGCCTGGAGCTGGTTCCACTTGGCCAGAATGGCATCCCTCTCATCTCCCAGCAGCGTCGGGGCCGAGAGGGCGCTGGCTGTGTTGATGAGCTGGTTGGACTGAGCGGGTGCCTGGGCAGGCTGGTTGAACAGCCCGGTGCCTAACGCTGGGCGGGATGAAGAGAAACACATGAACCCCCTGACCAACCGCAACCCTGCTATCAGCTACAACCTGCCTATCGCTAGCACCACTTCTCATCAGATTCTGAGAAGCAAAATAAAACCACCAAACAAATAAATGAATTAAAATCAGATCATGTTTCTTAAGTGTCTTTTTACAGCCATTCATCATCTACAACAGGAGTTCCTGAATGCTACATTAGAATATTTTTTTTTTCTTTTTAAAAACAAGACACCTGTCACCATGTCACCATCTGGCACCCTCAATACCTAAATCTAGAGTCAGGTTGGCTGTTACAAATTCAGTGGACTCAGAGCCTGAAGCTGCTTATTATCCAGCTCCCATTTAAATCATCCTGAATGCCTTTTCCCTCTCCCTTCTTGTAATGCTGTGACTGCAACATCAATTCTCTAACTACATTCTACCAGCATTAAACCAAAGGGTAAATATTGCTGGAAGCTCGAGGGTGAAGCTCAGGGACTTGGTTGAGCTCTAGTTTAAGAGTTGAAGTGTTAAACAGCCTCCCGTCACAATACACTTCTGTCCCACTACCCCAGCAACTGCAGATGGCAGTCTTGCGCTTTCACTGCCAAGGGATGGGTAAATCCGAAGGCCATACTCACTGGTCTGCTGCTGCTGCTGCTGCTGCTGCTGGGTTCCAAAGCCTCCAAAGGCTAGCCCAGTTCCCAGCCCACTACCCAAGCCAGTTCCAGTTCCTGTGCCAAAACTGGTACCAAATCCAAAGCCTTTGTTCTGGGTACCACCAAACAGTCCTGGGGAAACAAGCACATGATCACTGAGAAGAAGAGCACAGCAGCGCCGCAATCCAAAGCACTCGTGGGTTTGCTCCGAAGGCACTCAGTCCCTCGGGCCCTTACCGCCGGTGCCGGTATTGGTGGGAGCAGAGAAGCTGAACGCCGGCGCCGCGGTGGTGGTGGCGGTCCCAAAGCCCCCGAAGGCACCTGCCGAACACAGACCGCGGTCAGGCAGCGGCACACGGCCCCGGAGCCGCGCACGACGCGACCGACCGCACGCCTCGGTGGTACGGGAACAGGCGCTGACAGACGGATGGCACATGGCACAAGCATGGAGTTCACACTGAGCATGGGGACCGAGCTCATCGTCCAAGGAAATGGGGGAGAAAACACGGACCACAAAGCCACAACTTGTATGGTGTGTCAAGAAAGCAAACAAAAAGGCAGCAGTCAAGTGATATCTTGGTCCTTTACCAGAGGGATGTGCTTTCCTAGTGACAGACACAACTAACAGTACTATTTCTTACATTCTTCTCAGGAATACTTCTGCTCAATGTCACTGCTAAGTGTTTAATAAACAACTTGGTGTTTTGTGAAATTTACCAACAGTCCTAACCTCAGGAAACAAACCAAAGCCTGAGGCCAGGTACACCCAGTCGCTGCAGGCAAAATTTACAGGTAGAATTCTACAGGGTCCTTTTTTTTCAAAGCCTTGTTTCCCAGTGATCATTCCCATCACACCTCATGTGGAGGTCCAACCACTAGTACAGGACGATGGATGCAAAAGCCATTGGCCTTCCACAGATTTTCAGGAAAAGCAGTCACTGGCCAGGAAGAGAGGACCTAAGTGAGAGCCTGAGCTCCAGTGGTGCCAATGGCACTGGCCCAAGGTGCAGCCTGTGAAACCAAGGTCTCTGTGTCTCATGCTGCTCTTACACATGCTAAACGACAGAAGACAGTCTGCTACAAAGGATTTGTCACAAAGATGCCTCTCCTCACTCACATGCCAATAGCAAAAAAAAAGGTCCTTTAGATCTATTACACTCACAGTCCTCCTGTCCACAAACCAAATGAAAAGCATAAATCAAAGCTGATATGCAAGTGCATTTTATTTCCATTCAGCAAACACCTTGATGTGAGTGAAACTGTTCCCTGTAACACCCATGTTTCAATCCTGCCAGCGAGGGGGACACCCTGGCAGGAGCACCAGCAGATGATACCACTTCTAGGTACCTTTGTACCCACTGCAAATTTAGTCATCCTTTCCTGAAAAGGACCTGAGAGTACAAATTAAATTTAACAAATTAAAGACCAAAGTATCAAATTAAATCTCAAATGGACTATCCACGGTCTCTTCTGGAGCAGCTCAAATGCAGCCAGTGGAGAGAGTTCACAGCAAATAAACCCAATGGGACTGCTGGAGTGCACAGAACAATGAGAGTGCTGACACAGAGGGCGATGACACTGTGGGATGGACGGAATTCCTATACGAGCAGCAGCAAGGGACCCCGGGCTAACTGCACACCTCCACAAGCATTAGAAATCCATCCAGTCCGCTGTTTTCATAGGGAATGGGAAATCTTTGAGGTGAAATGACATCAGCTGATGGCTCAGATCTGGTGGATCTCCACGGGGGACAAGGGGCTTCCTTGGCCACCCCCCAGTGCCCCCATCCCGTGCAGGGCTCCCTGGAGCAGGAACACCCCCGGAGAGCTGGGGCAGGGCTCTGGGGAACAGGTCACAGCTGGCTCTGACTTTGTGCCGGTCGTATACAATTCGTTTCTGCACAGAAACTACTGAGGGGTGGTGCGGTCATGACAGCCACGCAAGGCCGATGAGGAGACACGGGGGAAGATGAAAACACGACTGCAGCAGTCCAAGAATCTCACGTCAGCAAACGTGGCACAGGGACCAGCTCTGGGATTGCTCGGGACCACCTGGATTCATTCCCGTTCCCGTTTGGCTACGGGGTTATTTTTCCTCAAAAGCTACTCCTCGAGAATTTAACAGGCAAAACCCCTCCCATTCCATTTCCAGAGCTTTTACGGCCAGTCTTCCCTGGATATGAGGATTAGTAGTGGACACGGATGTAATTCTTGGACCCCTGCTGGTAACATTTACCACAGAACACGTATTCACACGTTATCTACCTGCGCTTGCCAGACTGTTACCAAAATTGAAAGGTGGAGTTGAGGTAGTGGAAACACCGAAATTCCCAATATTAAAATTCACCGCGGGATTAGCGGTTAATCCGAAACCCCCAAAATTAAACCCACTGGCCGTGGAGTTTGCAGTTTCAAGCCCACCAAATCCTGACGAGCGGGAAGCAGAAAAAGAGCAAGGCAACATTAGTTCTGAGTGAAAGGCAGGTCCCAGGAAAGAAAAGCTGAAGCGTTTTCCCATCCCCACGGGCAAGACAGGCATAGTTAGACACAAGAGCAAAAGGTGTTAACTGGCATTAAACATTATTTATTGCACACAAGGAGGACAGTTAAAAGCTCCACACACTGCTGCTGTAAGGACATTATTTTTCAATTATACCGTGCATAAAGCAGCAGCATTTCCCCACCTCATTTCAAAGCCTTATCCCTGCGATTCAATATTCACATTAACAGTATTTTTAACAGCCTAAGGCTGCTCAATACAGCTGCATCTGTGTTAAGCGTAACAGATAATAGCAAAATTAATTCATAAACTATCAGGAAGGCAAGAGTAAATCATCTTCATACAAATGATACACTCGGATACATGACAACAGGATAACCACAAAACTCAGCTCCAGCAGCTGAGGCATCACACAAGCCTGACCCCAGATTTCCCTCTGTCATTGGTCTGTGGGTGTCATGAACCTTGCCACAGTGCACAGGCAGCACAAGGTGATGTTTTACTTTCAGATGGGGCCACAAAGAGTGTGTGTAAAAGAGACAGTAAAATTCAGGTTAACTAGAGCAAAGATGAGTCCTGTCCCAAGGACTTGTTTGGAGTCAACAATTAATTATTTTAGTAAGAGAGGGCAAGGAAAGCTCTGTCTTACACTTCACCATGACTGACAGTGACAAAAGCAGAGGGGAAAAAGTCTAACTTTACAAATTAACCCCTGTCTTTTACCTCGCTCAAAAATTAACTTCCAACGGCATCTCGTCCCAACGACGAATTTACTGCAAGCAAAATGCTGATCCGAGGGACCTGCACCACCTCATCACAAGCGCCTCAAGAGCGACTCTCGGACCCGCCGGGGGCCGGGCGCGGGACGGCGCCTCTGAGGCGGCCGCGGCTCCCATTGGCCGGGGGGCACGCGCTGCCGGCCACCACCGCTCCCATTGGCCGCAGGGCACGCGCGGGCCGCCGCCGCCCCGCGCCCCGCTCCCCCCCGCGCTCACCGGTCGGGTTGGCGGCCCCGGCTCCCGCCGTGGCGCTGAAGTTGAAGGCCATGGGGCCGATCGCGGGACGGCGAGCGGAGGCCCCCGCGGGAGTCGCGTACGAGCCCCCGCGGCGGGTCCGGCCACCAACAAAACCAGCCGCACGCGCCGCTTTTCCGCCGCCGCCGCCGCCTCCAAAGCGCTTCCGGGTGGCGCGGGCGACGCGCGGTGACGCCACCGGCGCGCGCCGGCGGGCTGTACCACTGCGGGCAGCGGGACGGGGGGTGCCGGGAGAGGCCTAATGTCCCATGGGAAATAAAGGAGAATAAAAGCGAGAAGCTCTTCCGTGAGGATCGCGGGCATTCCCGGGATTCCCCAACGCTGGGACCGCTGTGCCGCCGTCCCTCTGGGCGCATTCCTATGGCAGCTGCACCCAGTGCTGGGAAAAGCAGAGCACAGCCAGGCCCCGGAGCGTTTTCCCAGGGTTATTCCCAGAAAACAAGATTTGGGGTGACAGTGCTGCCACAGAATCCCAGGAGGGCTTGGTCTGGAAGTGACCTCAGAGCCCATCTGGCTCTGCTCCCTGCCATGTGTGAAAAATGACCAGATAAAATTAGCTTTTGCATTTATGTATTAGCCTATGCATGGTGTTAGGGATTATAGGTATTTAGAAACAGCATCACTGATAACTCTTTTTAGCTGCTTGTTAATATAATTAACAGCTTAAGCATGCACCGTGTTGCTCCTAGAAATAGTGGTGTAACCAATGTAATATCTGTGTGTCACTCATGGAGGTAATAGTGAGATGAATGTATTGTGTTAGAGGTCTTAGCAAAGCATAAGATGTTAAAAAAAAAAAAAGGAAAAGAAAAAAAAAGAGGTTTTTGTGTAACTAAAAACAGTGTAAGGCCATCCACTGACCAACCTGTCCAGGTGATAAGGTAACCCTGACACAAACGGAGGACAATTAAAATTTAAATTAAATTTAAAGAGGACATGCTAAATCCTTATCAGGGCATGTGAAACAGCAGTATGCAGACACAAGAAGAAATAAAATATTGGCCTGACACCCAGGATGTCATGCAGATTAGCTGGATCATGAAGTCAAACAAAGGAGTTCCCAAAACATCACGAAGCTCATGTGAATGTTTGAACAATGCACAAAGCACATGAACATGCATGTGCACCTGTATAAAGATAACACTGTCTGTAGGCACAGGGGTGTTCCTTGGCTGTTGGCCAGCAGCACCCCAGCCCTGCAAATATTGTCCTTTTTTTTATTAGTAAACTTCACAAAATTCTAAGCAGTGAATTCTGTTTTCCACGCACGGGCAGGGACACCTTCCACGATCCCAGGGCTGCTCCAAGCCCTGGCCTTGGATGCTTGCAGGGATGCAGGGGCAGGCACAGCTTCTCTGCAGAATCCATTCAAGGGCTTCCCCAGGGAAGAAACCGAGGCAGAATCCAGGAAAAAGGCCCCAAAGCGAGCCCAAGCAAGGCAAAGCCCAGTGCCCCTCTCCAGAAGACACACCTCGAACACACACCTCGCTAGCCCAGGGAAACACTCCTCGACGACAATATCCTTTTAATAGGGAAGGGTTAGAGGAACCTTGGTGACTTTTAACACAGGTTTCTGCTTGACAAGTAAAAAAAGTGTCAGGAGTTCTCCGGACCCACGGAGGGGTGCTTTCATCCCCAAAATCCCAAGTCTGCATTCCCAGCAAACCCCCACGAGCCCACCCAGGCGCTGCGTCCCCTGCAGCCCAGGAGCAGCTGAGCTGTGGTGCCTGAGGCCGCACAACAAAGCCCACACCCGAGGGACAGAAGCCTGGCCAGCAAGCAGGGTGGCAACACCGAGGTGGGCTGCCGCTTCCAGCCGCTGGCTCGGTCCGCACGCTGTGCTGCGACAGCAGCAAGGACACCAGTGACAAACGGAGGGCGCTGCGCCCAGCCCACAGCCCGCGTGTCCCTGGACACCAGTGACAAACGGAGGGCGCTGCGCCCAGCCCACAGGAGCTGTCCCAGGGCTGCCCAGGAGCCCGCTGCCTTCCCGGAGGGCTGTCAGCGATGCCACCCGCGTCACTCCCGCAGGGAACGGCGGTGCTGAGCCTCCGTGGCCGCCGGAGGGCAGGGCTGAGAAAAGCAGGAGCGGTTTGCAAATGGAGTTTGAAAGCTGCTGAGAGAAAAGTCTCCTCCCCGGCTGACAGCGCAGATCCCTTCCACCTCTGTCCCGGCTGGACACGAGCGTGGCTCCACAGGGGACAGTCGGTGTTAGGTCAGCTCTAATGGTTTGCTCTCCAAGCTCACAGGGGGAATGAAACCTACTAGGACGTCCTGATGAGTGGGGACCTCTCTTCTTCCGTGCTCTGCAAGAACAAAACCACAGCAAGTGAAATGTAGCCATGAGAGACCTTGCACCATGGGAAATGGCCCAGACTCCAAGCAGGGAAAGGAAAAGCTCCTACTTCTAAGGAGAATTCCCTCTAACAGAGCCTAAGGAAGCACCAGAGGGGGGGTGGCAGCTTGGGCAGGGCCCTGCTGCAGCCCCTGACACGGGAGGGAAGGCCAGAACCGGCCAGGGAGCGCCAGAAGAGCTGCAGGCTGTGGGATTACCTCTGCTTGCAGGAAAAGCAACAAAAAGCAAAGCAGGAAAAGCACAGAATGCAGGTGTCCCTTTGTCACTTTGACCCCTGCAGTGTTCCAGCACGTCCAAGAGAGCTGGTTTGAAGCTGTGCATGGAGGGTGGGGCAGGAATTCCCAGGACAGGCCTTGGGCAGTGGGACAGACTGACGCCCTGGCTGAGCTGCTGGCAACACAGGCAGGCTCAGAAGGAAAGGAAAGGGAAAAGGACCAGCCTGTCCTGCACAGGAAACTGAAGTGCAGTCCCATGGGGAGGGCATGGCAGTGGATCCCACTGATCCAGAGGGGTTCCCCAGGCACAGAGGGGAGTTGTAAGACAGCATTTAGGGAACAACAAACACACGAGGCCACAGTAACTATGAAAACAGCCTCCTAGAGAACCCAGGCTATTCCTCTAACCAAAGGCTCCACACTTGGTGCCATCTGAACCCTGCTATGGTGAAACGTTGGCAGCAGCTTTCACCCTGACAGGCACCTTAATGCCAGCGTGTCATCTTGGGACAGAAGTGCTCATAAAGAGATTTACAGGCTGTCTTGTGAACAGACAATACTGGAGAATACTCCCTGCTGCTGCTGTCTGTGCAATTCATCTGTTCTTTGGCCACAAATTCGCATGGTGATTCCGGAAAATCACCCACTGGCACAACGCAGTTCTTCTGCTGAGAACACTGACACCAACTAAATCTGTCCTCAGGAATGGTGGAGTTTTTGCATCTTATCCTTCAGGGTCCTCTAGACAGGCTGATTTGTTTCACTACTGTTGGCAAGGGAACTGGGCACAGAGACAGGACCTGCCTTACCAGGCTCCTCGGATTAACTCCGCTCCTTTGCTTTGGCGCGTTTATTCTGAGTCTATTAAAACTTCCCCTCCCTAGAAAGGTCATTCCCAACAAAAACAGTATAAAAACACGTGCAGAAAGACACCAAAAGGTAAAATCAACCACAAAAAAAAAAAAAAAAAAAAAAAAAAAAAAAAAAAAAAAGAAAAATCAAATGCAGGCAGATGGACAGCAAGCAAAGTCAAATCCAAGTGCTGCTTACCTCTTCAGTTATCCTCTGGGACCTGCAGGCCAGCACAATGAAAACAATCCCAAACACAATCCCCAGAGCCATGATTACAAAGGGGATCCCAGTCACAACACTGGCTTCCAGCAGGACGTGCCTGAGTTTGCTGGCAGATGCTTCATCAATCAGAACACTCTGGAGCGGAAAGAAATGAAAAGGAAATTAAAAAAAAAAAAGTTCATTTATTTCTGTGCTTTCTCCAAGATCACTTTGGTGAAGGGCAGGGAAACAACACCCCCACAACTCTCCACCACTGCTTCCTGACAAACATCCCCCCTAAAATTCTTCCAGGGGGCAGAGGGATCACCTAGTCTGTATTTCAAAGGAAAAAAGGGAGTTTTAACTTTTGGTTTAGGAATGGACTGACACCAATTGATTCGGTGATCCGAGTACAGCTCAGGAATATTCACAGCAGATGACTCAGGCAAAGGTGTGATCTTCTCAAGTACTGCCTCTGTCTGAGCACCCCTTTTCCTCATGGCCAACTCCTCTGAGTTTAAAAGGATTGTCTGACTGAGAGTGTTTGGCTGGAATTAACACTACAACAAGCAGCAGGAGGGTGTTAGCTGAGAAACAGCAACAGCTTCCTACCTATGGCTGTACAAACAACAAGAAAATCAGCGTTTTCTTTTCTGGCTGGCTCAGAGGGTATTTCTGCAAGCATTAACATGCCACAGTGCTGCAAAGACATGGCAAAACTATTTACCTCATTTATATACATCACTGGGAAAATCAGCGTTCGGATGTTGCCGGTTTCACTGCATGAAAAACAAATAAATTAAGGGTTTGGAACTTTTCCACCTGAGGGTTGTGAGGACAGATTATACAAGAACAGTGAACATGGAAAGTGTCCCTAAAAAACCTCTGGGCTGTTCCTCTTTGCTGTGGATTTTCACCTCCCTGCTGGAGTAGGACAGTTTTGATCTCACGGATGGATAAATTCTGGTTTGGGAGCAGGGACTTTGTGTTTTGGGACTTGGTGGGCAGGGAAAGACAGGGATCCATCCAGGGCTCATTAGTAACTCAGTGACAGATTTGTGCCAGGCAGCAGGACTTGAGCTAAGCTGATGTTGAAGGTTACTCCTGCTTGTAAAACACAGGAACTATTGTCCAAGCGACATGAGCACAGCAGCAAAAATCCCCCAAGAGTTGGCACATGTGGAATCCCAGCTCAGGCAGGAGCTGTGTTACAGTGACAGCTCCTGGGCACTGGGAAACAAGCCTGAAGAACACCCCTGAGTCTCCCAAGGGGACTGGGCAGATAAAATACTTGTGTTGTAGTTATTACAGCCACGCTGTGCCAGTAAACATCAGGAGGAGTAGCTGCCATACAGCATTCTTTACTCTGCAGGTGCAACTACAGAATCTGCTTCCCCTGTGAGAGGGGAGCATAGTGCCCCTTGGAACTGAGATTTGACTGGACTTCTCTCTCTCACACTTGCTCTCTCCACCCCATATTCCATCAGAACACTGCAGAAAAAATCATGCTGAACATCAGCTTAGATATGAGACTGCACCCAGCAGCAGAGAACACTCACAAAAACTCAGGTAATTTTCGGACGTGAACGTTGACCTGCATCCGCTTGGCTGCCTGCAAGACGAGCCCTGTCAGCTGGGGAATAAAAGAGATCAGTGTTAAAAAAAAAACCAGAGAAAGTGAAAGAATGAGAGCTGTGAGAACGCAGGAAGAGCCTGGAACACACACACAGAGCAGGATCTGCACTGGACCTCAGGAGAGCAGCTGTGGAATTTCCTCCTGCTTTAGCTGCACATAAGAGCCTGGTGAGTCAGAGCACTGTTTCTGTAAACCAGGCAGGTGGTGACTGTGCTCTTTTCCTTGACCCACATTTGTCTGTGGGGGCGTAGAGATCACTGCTGTACTGGTTTTAGCTGGGAGAGAATTGATTTTCTCCACAGCCGCTGGCATCAGGCTGTGTTTTGGAGCTGTGATGAAAACAGCGTGGGTAACACAGGGATGTTCCAGCTCCAGGCCTTTTCTGTTTCTCACACTGCCCTGCCAGTGAGTGGGTGGGTGGGGTGTGTGAGACACTGGGAGGGGACAGGGACAGGACAGCTGACCCAAAGTGCCCAGAGGGATCTCCCATTCCATCCAGCATCATAGAACTACTACAGATTCCTTGAGGTCAACGGGACTACACCAACACCCACCACACAAGGAGGTGACCTAAACCCATGTGCTTGGATCCACTCACCTACAGAACCCTTGAAAAAAGGCTGCACTTACGGGATTGATGTCCAGAAACGTCTCATGGTATTCTTTCCTGGGATGCATGCCCTCTATGTCCTCTACAAACTTCGGATCTGCCTGGTAAAAATGTGGAGCCGACAGAAAGATTGGAGCACCTGGAAGGCGAGAACACCGAGTCAGCGCCACAACAAAAGGCCGAGCAAGGGGAAGCCTTGGAGGAGCCCAGAGCTCTGAGAGGGGAAGGGCCCCCTGTGGAGCTCCACAGGCCAGTGGGACGGGCACACTGAACCCACCCTGCTTGCAGACGCTGACGTTGAGCACGCCGGTGCCGGGGCAGTTGCCGGCGGGCACGCAGAAGCCGGCGTTGGCCGGGTTCACCGAGGTGTTGGCAAACACCATGGAGGAGGGCACGAAGCGGAACGTGGGCACCCCGGCCACGGCTCCCGAGCTGTCGTACACCAGGAACAGGGACCTAGGGGGAAGCAGAGCAGGGCCAGGCGTGTCAGGCTGCAGCAGCACTGAGCCCAGCCCCACGTGTCCCCCTGCTGATGTCCCGGGTTGCAGTCCCACCACATCACGTCGTCCTGCTGCTGCAAGGAACAGATGGACCCCACGTGAGTGCTGCTACCTCTGCTGGGAGGGACCAGGAAAGGAAGGCGGTCGTGGAAGGCAGAACAATCTGAATTCAGCCTAACACATGTCTGTATCGATTTAAATAATTCCAGGCTGGTTTTGTTCTTCATGCGCCGGGAAATCAGCAAGAGGGGAGGCAAGGTGTTACATAAGGAAGGAAAGGCCAAGATTTCCTTGGCACATTTCAAACAGCATCATGTAAAGTCATGAATCTCTGAAGAGAGCAACCTGGGTTCTCTGAAAAAGCACAGCACAGAGGAAGACTTTGGAGGAAAGAAGCTTAAGGAAAGCTCATCTAAATCCTTCCATTCCCCTCAATACTAGCCTTGCAGTCCAGTCTATTCTTGCAGTTTTCTTCCAAATTCTCACCTCACAAATTTCCATTTTCAAGTAACACATCCTTAACTGCAGACTGGGAGGGGTTTTGTAGCTCTCATGTTCCCACCACTAATAAATGCAGAACACTGTGAATGTTAAACAAAATCACAGGAGAAGCACCAGCCTAACATGCCACCTCGAGAGGAATGGATGTAAACGCTCTGCTTTAAAGCCTGAGTGCCACTGTCTTCTCCTTACCTGCAGAAATCTGAAGAAAAGATGTAAATGTTCTCATCTTTGCTGATCAGCGGGTGAAAGGACGTCCCATCTGTGCCATTGATCATGTTACATGCCTCTGTTGTCCACCAGCTCAAGGACCTGAGGAAAGGGAAGCAAAGAGAGCAAGGGCTAAAAGATGTCTGGGCAGCAAGCAGTCAGGCCATGCCAGCTCCTGGCCTAGGCAAATGGGAATCAGACCTGTACAGAGCCAATTCCTCCTGCCTCAGCTCTGCTAACAACAAAAGGCATTGAAATGGGTTTAAAGTTGCACTTGCATCCTCCTTAAACTGGCACCAGGCAAGCAAAGGGCAGACTGTGACAGAGGCAACAGTACACTGAAAAACTTACTCTTTTCCTTTCCACTCCACAATCCTGGAGAAGTTCAGGTAGTTCGTTTCCCCACTCAGGAAAACATATTCTCCATCATCAGTTCCATTCATCTGCAAACAGAGGCAGGAGCTTTCAGTGGCTCCACTCATTCTGTGCCACTGCAAGGGGGTGGCAGGACTTGAAGTTGTCACCACTCCAAATCCACCCCAGGAGTGATGGACTGCCCCTGAGAGCTGTGCAGTTTATTGAACTCCACCCTGGACAGGAATGAGGTGGAAGTGACACGGGAAGATCCTTACACTTTCCAAAAGCAGGAAATAAAACACCAGATGAGCCTTTTCTCCCTTTGAGAGCTGCCCCCTGAATAAAGAGCCCTCAGGAAGAAAATACCCCACCGAAATGACCTCAGCACTGCAAACATCCCCACGAAGCAATGATTTCCCCCCAGACCAAAACGACATGCAATGACCAGAAACACTGTGCAAGCCAGGAATGGCTCCAGCACAGAATTAACATCCAATTTCAGTCAGTTACTAGGGAAATCAGGACATTTTTCCAGCAGTTTGCACAACTGGCTCCACAAAGCCCACGCCATTCAAGCGAGCACAGGCGAAATTGGAGGATGCTGTCCTTGGAAAGCTCTATGCATCCCTCATCCCACAGGGCCAGCAGCAGCAGGCAGGGCCAGCAGTTACCTTGCTGAAGAGCCCGAAGATGGGGTCAATCTCGGGGTGCAGGACGTGGATGGTGGCCAGCAGCCTGTCCTTGTAGCCCCAGAGCAGCTCGTGCACGCTGCGCACGGTGAACAGCGACTCCTGGTACAACAGCAGCAGCACCTCCGTGGCAAACTGCAGAGGGCTTGCCCTGGTCCACTCCATGGCAGTCTGCCAGGGCATTGCAATGAGGGAGCAATGGTCAGATTTGCTGGGCAAAGATGCTTTCCCCCGCTGCACGTTGATTTCCCCAAAATTCTAACATTTATTTCCTTCCCGGCTGACAACAGAGGTCATAACAAAAGGAGGGCGTTTCTTTGGCCTAACCAACACGTGGTTCTTCTTGTGTTGCCTCTTACAGTACATCACAGCCAAAAATCTGAAGGAGAGATAATCCTTACCACCACGAGATGCCTGGGAGCAATTGAAAACACAGGGTCTGTATTGTCTGCAACTTTCAGGAAGCTGATTCCTGTCTACTGCTATATACAGGGCATTTCTGGACTCATTTGTAACATCAGGAATTTTTGGAAGTGCTGGGGAAAAAGCTGAAATGAAAGTACCCTGCAAGTGAAACTAAACCAGGATGGAGAGTAAAGGCTGAATCATACCCCCAAGTATTTGAGTGCAGCCTGACTGCCTCTGGAAGCTGTGACAGCTTGGGATCTGCTTGTTCCCATGCTATCCCTGTATAAGACCAAAATAATGGCCTGCCTGTGATCACTATGAGACTCTATGTCACCTAGCACAGTCTGAGGGTACATTTTTTATTTTAATTTCACTCAGCTCTGCCTGGAACTGCTCTACTGTAGTTTGTTTCTGGTTTGAGAAGCAGACTGGGAGGCAGCTTCTCCATTTTGACAAAATAACCCCAAGCATTCCCAACTCCCTCATGCAGAAGCCAGACGTCCTCCTAGGCATTTGACATCACTGATTCCCTGGTTTCACTGACTCATGGAATCCCAGCAAGACTGAATTTCCCCTTGTCCCTGGAGAATGTGTGATCTCCTAGCACCAGGGGAAGGCACTGCAGAGGTGTGAGGAGGGGGAGGAATAAAATAAACCCCCCACAACAGTCGAGCCCCAAAGTGAGACCAGCATCTGCCCAGGACACGAGCTGCCTCTCTTCTTCTTCCATCACATTCATCCACCACAAAGGGAGAGTGAGGATGAAGCAACACCCTGCTCCTTCTGAAGTGTGTCAGGATGAATTCCCAGCAGGAATGAAAGAGAACTCACCACTGCAGGGATATTTACTGTCCTGATCAGGTCCACTTCAGGGTCTCCCACTGACTTCTCAGGTTCAAATACGTAAGTCTTTGGGTTTAGAGCAGACACTTTGGTTCCGTTGTCCAAAAACTGGACGTGCACTCTTGGCCTGTATTCCCTGAAAGACAAGAGTATGTTCTCTAATTGAGTTAAACAAGTAGACACAGCACTAATCACAATTAACTCTACTGCTTTAAGCACATAAAAGGTGGCATTTTCAGTTCTTTGGAAGCAGATTCCCCCACTGACACAAACCCCCTGCTGTGTCTGAGTGTGCTGAGTCAGACCTCACAGGGCGTCTCCAAAAATGCCACCCTGCGTGCTAATTGCACCTCATTTTTTTCCTCATCTTTAAAAACCTCAAAGGAAGGACAACAATTTCAGATGGCTCAGAAGGATTTAGAGACACTGTATATGAGATTGCCCTGAAGTCCAGTTTGAAAAGGAAGCTTTTGCCTCTGCTGCAGGCAGAATCCACTCCCAGAAAGATGCAGGCTGCATGTGTGTCAGGGACCTGACCTAAGAACCCACCAGAATCCTCCTGCTGGCTCAGAGCACCAGGGCTTACATGTGGCACAACCACAGAAAAAGCCTCATTTTAGTTCTTCTCCTGTAATTCTCCAGCAGGAATCCTGGGCACGACAGAAATTCGACTGAATTTTTCCTGCTCGCTACCCATGGCCTGGGAGGTTGCTGCTGTTCCTGTCTAAGCACTCAGACAGCAGGATAAAACTCAGGATTGCTGACAGACCGGTCCAATTAGCAGGGAACATCAAATGCTACCGGCTTGCCTGACAAGAAAGTCAGATCCTAATTACCCTGACACGTCAGGAGCACAAGGGAATTCCCATTGCCATTAGCACCTGACCAACCAGGACTGTGCAGCTGTGCAGAGCAGGCTGACACACACGTGGCTCCAGCAAATCCCAAAAGGGAAATGGCAGCGGGCTGCTCACGCCTGGCACACGCAGGAGTGAAACTCCTCCTGTTTCCTCAGCCTGCAGTGACTCAGGAGCCTGCTGACTTTCACATTTGCCTGGGCAAACGTCGAGTCTCAAGATGTGAGGGAGAATTGTTCTGCCAGATGTTGTGTCTGATCTTCTGCATTCAGTTTGGGTCGAGATTGTGTCCTGGCTGCACTGGAGCCATCAGTGCAGCTTCACAACAGGCTGCATTGCTCTGGCTCAGCTTTCACAGCTCAAGCAAACTGGAAAGGCCTGTGAAACTACTGCTATTAGAAACCAGCCACTTCCCATTTTCTTACCCTCCGTGTCTCTACCACTCCCCAGCATCCCTGCCACTCAGGAACATCTTGGTCTGGCAACACTTCCAGCTTGACTTGGCAAGAGCCTCTTGGACAGCAATCTATTTTATACCCCAGGGGTGGAACTGAGGGGAATGGAAATGGACAGCTGTGAAATGCCTCCCTAAAATAGGCCAGGAGTAACCTGAGACACCTCTCCAGCTCTGGAGAGGAAAATAATACTCCCTGATGAGGGATATCAGTAGGAGGTTACTAAGGCTCTAAGATGTTAAAGTTAAAAAGTTGTACATGTGTGCAAGACCAGACAATATTCCAGTGTTCTTTGGGACTCAGCAGGCTTGGGCAGATAGGCAGCTTGAACTTTGTAATTATTTATTTTACATGGTGCCAGCTCAACTTCCAGGATTTAAAAGCACGGGCACTACTATGTTTTTGTTACAGAATCTGCCTCAAGTGCTTTACAATGTGTGCTGGTGAAAAGTCTGAGCTGCAGGATGAGACTCCCTGGAGCCCTCCCTGTCACTGACTGGATTATTTTTTCCCTCTGCTTGTTCAGCCCAGTTCACTCCCAGCCTTTCCCCTGTTTTATAAAAACACGGAGCCGTGCACTTGACGTGAGTGCATTTCAGGAGTTCTAAGGCCACGTGCTAAGGCCAAACGAGCCTTCAGTGCTTTGCCATGCAGGGCCTGTGGAACCAGCTGGAGGTTTCTTCCCTGGCTGGAGCGTGCAGTGTGGCTGGAACACCCCTCCCTGTGCTCCCACACACCTCCTCTCCTCCCACCCACTCACCACAGCCAGGCCAGGCTTATGGAACCTGCTGCAAGAGAGCTCTCCACTTCCTAACTTTTCCTTCTTCCCCTATGGAGGAAGAGCAGAGCACAGGGGAATCCTCTCCAGACACACCAGAATGAGGCCAAGCAAACCAGGCAGAAGCAGCTGGAATGTGCAGCCTCTTTCCTTCCCCTCCCTGTCCCCACCAAGAACACGGCAGGGAGGGCCGGCGTCGGGGACCCGCTCGCAGGCATCCCTCGGCGTGGGATGCAGGGAAAGGCTCTCCCAGAAAACCAGCAGCTCAGGCTGGGCCTCCCCTGGGGCAGGGACCAGCCCAGCCACGACAGCACCAACCCCATCCACCCTGCTGAGCTCCTCCATGGGCAAGGTGCAGCTTCCCAAGGCTGCGTGGAACACCCAGGAGAGACTCGGAGCTAAGGAAAGGGAAAGAGGAAGCTGGCAAAGAGGACTGAATGTGGTGCCCTGTGTGCAGCTCTGTGAACCCTGGAGCTGGTCCTGTTCATCTTCCTGACACTGAACACACTGGGTGAGAACATTGCTGACTAATGCCCAGTGTTATGCTACACACACCTGAAGGAAAGCTTGGCAACTGGGGAGCTTGTGGATCATCTTTTCTCCAGCTCTTCTGGCTCCTGTAAGAGCAGGGATTTTGCCAAAGCACCACATGGAGTTTGCCAGGACTAAACAGACACAGGACTAGAATGCAGAGGAGACAGGGGAAGGGATTGTTGGAGGGAGGAGAAGGGAAGCTGAGATGTGGGAAGAAGGAAGCTGAAAAGCAAGAGATAATGTAGAAATCGAGGCTCCCACAAAGGCTTCTGCTTTCATTCCAGCACTTTTTCAAATACAAGAGATTCTGATAATTTTGCAGCTTAGGTAAAGACAGCTCCTTCTGGCACTGAGCCCGTGCCTGGCCTGGATGTGCCTGCGTGACCAGAAGTGGGCTCACAGTCAGGAATCCACCTTCTTGCTGTGGTGATGAATTCCTCATCACACCAGGACTCCAGGACCACAGCCCTTCCTGCCACAGGCCTGCTCCTGGCTGACACAGCTGCAGGCAGCTGAGCACAACACAGCTCTGAAGGAAAACTCTTTTGTAAGGGGACTTTCAAATCCCTCCGTGCCACACAGGAGCTGGACAATATTTAACACTGCACACGGCCTTAGTAAAACCATCAGTAAAAATGAGAGATGGGTTTAAAAGCTAAGCAGGTTTTTCAGTGAGGGCTGGCTCAGGAAGACCCTTTTAGTACCACTCTAAGTGTTTTTCTGGCCTCATTTTACCCATGTGGATGGTGCAACTCCAGCTAGGAACCAATTCCTGAGCGAGCATGAGTCACACTTTTGTGCAACACTCCTCTCTCCCCAGCCTCCCAAACATCCCCAGCCCACAAGACAGCAGGCCAGGATGCATCAACTTCCTCTGTGCTCAGCAGTGAAGAACAGCAGCACACCAGCAAAACTGGGCCCAAAATCTGACAGAAGTCACTGGCCTGCAAGTGTCAGTGCTGTCTGTGTGGGCAGTGACCATGCTCCTCCCCTGGATAAACCTCCCCTCACACATTAACACCTAGGTTTTCTCCCACAACGGGATCCCAAGCCTTCTGGATTCGTCCCACAGCAGTTTTTGTGGAGTGTGGAACTCCTGAGAGGTCCTACCTGTAGGTGTATGGTCCTATTTCCTCTACGAGAGGAGTGGCGCCTTGGAGCACTTCCAAAGGATTTGTCACATTGAAGAAGTAGAACTGCATGTAGACTGGGGGGGGAGGGTCCTCCCAGGCCTCAAAGGTTTCTGTGCCATTCCTCAAGACTGTTCCCTGAAACAAGAGAAAGGCACATCAGCTGCTGACGCTATCATGGCACTGAGAGGAAGAGGACAGAGAGGAATTCCATGCCCTGGGAGCAAGCACAGGCAGTAAGACTCAAGAGAGACCCCAGTTCCAGATCTGCTTTGCTTTGGGGCAGCTCACTGAACACCAGCCAACCCAGGCACCTGCTCTCCTGGCCATAGGCAGCACTGCTGGCTTTGTAGTTGCACTCCTCCCCACAGACAATGGTGCCTGGCATTTTTCAGAAGGGAGGTTGATCAGCTGCTACTCAGCAATCCTGTTTCCTTTCCTGCATCAGTAAAAACCTCCACCTGGTGCAAGACACCACAAAAGGTGCCAACATTACAGATAAAAGTACAGCTCGATGCTGGGAGCCCAGAAGAGTCCTGGCCTTGATGATTTCTTTGCCCAAGAAAGTCAGATTCCAACATAGCTGTGAGATTCTGTCTCCCAAGCAATTAGACTTTGGTTATCAGTGGCCTGTGAGAAAAACTGTGAATGACAAATTGCTTTCACACAGGATCACTCTAGGATTTGTGCCTTTCCAAGGTCTTTGAACAGGAGAAAGATTTGTTCTCCCTCTGTCTTTAATTTCTTTCCTACAGCAATGACAGCACCTGCATCTCCAGACCCAAGGTGTGTCAGTCTATTTTGTAACCAAGCAATAAACCATTATTTATAACAGAAGCACTTAGGAAATGAAACTAATTCCCTTACCTCAGTGATACCCCTTATCAGTATATACACCTTCTATGGAAAGTCACAACCACACCTGTCATGTAGAGCTCTGCAACAGAGATCTCAACTTTATTACTGTCCTGTTTTGGATAAAATTCACCCCACTATAAAGCATCCCCACCACCAAAACCAAGGCTTTTCATGCAGCTACGACTCTGGAACTGCTGCAGTGGTCACACAGAGAAATCTGGCTTACAGAGTGAATGTTCAGGAATAAACACAAAGAAAAGTCTATCTTTGAAAACCACATCACCTGTAGGTGGAAAAAAGGGAGGAGGGGAATGATTTGCAATTAAATGGGTCTCATCAACACTCACTCTTTTCATTCTTCGGAGAAAACAAGTGGAATATTGTGAATGGAAGCTCAGAAGCAGGGCAGGCTGGACAGCTGCCAGCTCGTGGTCAGTGTTCACGGGGTCTTATCAGCCACACTTGCCTCAGGACTCATTCTTGGCCTTCCCACTTAAGGAGGCGTTTTCTCTCCATGGAGACTTGAATTTTGAAGGATGAGATAAAGAGGAGACTGTTCCAAAGACAAACTCATTGGCAGGAGCTGGGCATGGCAGCAGGAATGCTGAATGGCAGCGAGAGCCAGCCCAGCTGGTGGCACTTTGCACTTGCAGCCTGCTTTCCCTGTAGGATTAAAACCCTTTTATTCTGTGCACACCTCAAAAATTAATGTGTTTCAGACACGCTTGAGGAGCTTGGAGCTCTTCTCTGGAACTACCAGCACCTCATACATACAATTTCTTACACAGCCTGATGCTTTAATCATGTTTTTTTATCATTTATGCCAAGGAGACTCATCTCTGTATTCCCTAGTATTCACTGGTCATATTAATTCCAGATTTATTTCTTGGATTGCGTGGCACAATTTGCACCTCCCACAGAAATTAAGTGTCTATTTATAGCTCTGCACAGTGACAGCAAATGCAGATTCACAAACTTGTGAGATGGATTCAGAGAGACTCCCAAAAACTGTCAAATAATGAAACATGCTAAGCTCTTTTCTTCTGATTTTCACCAAATGTTACCAGGGATATTTCAGTCTATCGCAGGATGTTACAAGGACATCAGGGCTTCTTCTTTCCAAGCGGAGTCCAGTGTTTCCAAGCTCATTTCCAGTGTTCCAAAGCATCCTTCCTGCTGAGTGCATTTATCAGCCAGCCCTGAACCCACAGCTCTTTCATTTGCTGCTGTTTCCTTGCCTTGACTGTGCTTTACACACAGGAAATAAACAGGGAGCTTTCACTCCCAAATGTAACAGCTACTGGTGGTGATGGTGGGAGTGGGAAATGGCACTGAACATTCCTGAAGCCTACAGAGAAAACTTAATTTCTTTTTAAAATTTATTTCCTGGAACCCCTAAACGTTTTAATTCAAAGATGCACTTTTATGTGTTCATCTGTCACAGAGTTTAACTGCAGCTTGCTAAGGTGGTGGGGTAAGTGTTCAGACCAGCATGAACAGACCTCTCCACTCCTGTACCCTGGGAATGCCCTGCCCCAAAGGAGCATCCCAATGGATCCTTCAGCTAGGCCTTCACACTAAACTCTCCTGAGAGCTCCAGTGTTTTGCATTAAACAACAGCAAAAAATGATCAGTACATCAGCTAAATCAAAGGAGAAAACATCCTCCTTGTCCTTTTGGGCCTGAAACATTCCAGCCAACTCAGCTCAAGAGATGCCTGGCGACAAGTCCAGTGGAATTTCAAGGAGTATGAAGAGTGTTTTCTAAAATTCCCAGCCTAAGGGATGTGCTGTGAAGGAAACACCCAGGCAATAGGACTGACTGACTTCCAAGTTTGAAATGAGGAGCATAGCTCCAAGATTGATTGTGTGTATACATATATAATATCAGGTTGTTCTCACAACCTGCACTCCTATAACAATAAACACACCAGCATCTACCCATCAGAGGGCACAAAGCAACAACACTGGCAGCTGGAATGCCTTTCTCCTGGAAAAGACATCCTTGGTCATTACAGATTTTTTCCCACTACTCTCTAAAGTTTCAGGTGGTAGGCCCTGATAACAAACAGGTTTTGGAATTCTGCTTGGGATGGCACGTTTAGTTCACAGAAATTAAAAAAAAAAAAAAGCAGATAAAGAATAAGTTGATGAGACTTGAATGCCTTCTGGGAAGAGTGCTGCCAGTGTTCTTGTCACAACACATCTGCTCAGTGAATTTCAAGAGGTGTGAAGTCTGACAGCAGGCTGGATTCCCACTCTTCCCACACCCTCTCTGTATCCTTTGGCTGGAAAGGCTGCTTGCACACAACCCCCAGGGAAAGCAGAGCCATCCTCAGCCTTTCACAGGTGCTGGCTTTGGAGACACAGGTGCTTCAGCTGCTCCAAAACACGGCTTTCCACTCCAGCTGCACTTGAGACTGCCAAGACAGCCCCGCTCCAGGACGCTTGGAAAGCCCTCAAAGGAACAGGGGCTCCTTGCAAAAGCTCGGGTCTTGCCCCATTCCAAGGGCAAACTGAGATTTGTCTATTTGCACAAGATTTTCTAAGCCGCACACGCGGTTACACAAGAGACAGCAGCTTTCCCGACTCCACACAAACGAGGGGAAGCTCACGTGGGATAAAGCAAAGGTGGAAAGCAGCCAGCTCAGCAGAGTGACTGGAGCAGCCTGCCGTGGGGCTGCGCTTCCCCAGCCTGGCGGGTGTGACTCCTGCACAAGGAGCTGGCAGGGAGCCGGGCAGCTCGTTCCCTGCCATCCAGATGTGTGCCAGCAACGAGCTGCAGAGCAGCAGGCAGCAAAGGCCTGATTTCCCGAGCTCTGGAAACTTTAGCCCGCCTTACTGCAAGGCCCGCGGAGCAAACGCCAAGTGGCTCTTACGTAAGTTGCTCCGGGAGATAATGCGGTAAGGAGGATCACCCCTAATTCCTGACAGCCCTGCTCCAAAGCACTGCTCCCACCCCGCTGCTCTGGGAACGGCAGGAAGAACGCTTGGAAGCAGAACTTCTGGGATGCAGGAGAGGGCAGACTCCTTCCCAAGGAGAGCCAAGATCAGGGGGATGGAGCTGCGCGTCCACAACCTGCTGTAAGCTGACTGCCAACCCCACGCTGTGCTTGCTAAACCAAACCGACTGGAGACAATGCAGTTTCCATGGTAGGAAATGCTCCCTGTCAACAGCCCAGAGGAAAGAACAGTAGGTTAGGACATGACAGATAATCTGGTCACCAATTAGACAACAGCACTGGTCAAATCCCTTCGCTGGTTAGCACTCCTGGCGTCTCTGTCAGAATAAGAACTAAGATGATATTCCTCAGATAGATAAATAATTGCTCATTACAAAGGATTTCCAAGAGACTTCCTAACACAGCTGGGCCACTGCAGAAATGCACAGAGCCACTCTGGGAGAGAAACAGAAGCTTAGGCAGGGCAGGAGCAGTGCAGGCCTCCGCATCCCCAGGGTGGGTGTCCCCAAGTGTGGAACAACCTGCTGAAATGCCTGGGGACCCGGCAGACACCGCGTGTTCCAGCCCACAGCACCTCCGGCCCTGTTCCAGAGGCACCAGTAAACGGAGCAGCAGAGCAAGTATGAAAGCTGCAAGCAATTTATGATAGAGATAGCAAAAATAAGGGGTCCTTTAGGTGCCCCCTGCTCCCCTCAGGTGCTGCTGCTCTGGAGAGAGCTGCTCGCTACAGCTGCTGCCCCACAGCCAGCCACGCTGCCTCAAGAAGAGGCATTTTCACCCATCCCCACCCGATTTTTACCCAGCCCAGGGACCAGCGCAGCCTGAGCTCCATTCTGAGCCTCAGCCCAGCCGGGCGGCGCAGGGCAGGGGGGGTTCAGAGCCCAGAGCAGCGCTGCTGCGAGGAGCCAGCCAGCCCTCTCCCTCCCTCCCTCCCTCGGCTATTTCCAGACGGAATAAACCGCTAAACAAGCACCGAGCAATGCCTTTACCTGCTTCACCTGCAGATTCACCACCGTCTGGAAGACGTGCGCGACCAGCAGGGAGATGCTGGCGATGAGCAGCGTCATGGCCAGCACCCCCACGGTGACCAGACACAGCGACTTCATGGCTGCTGCTGCTCCTGCCGCTGCCGAGCAGGGAGCGCCGGGGCTCCGCCGGGAAACGGCTCCGGGGGCGGGATCGCCGCGGGCCCCGCCCGCCAGCGCCGGGAGGAGCCGCCGCTCCGCCCGGGATGCTCTGCTCTTCCGGGGGATGCTCTCCTCTCCTGGGGTCGGGACAGGGTATTATCGCAAAGGAACGGGGCGTGGGTGCTGCCCGCAAGGATTCCTGGCACTGGCGGAAGCCTCGTGCCCGCTGGGGATGGCACGAAGGGCGTTCTGGAAAACAAGCGGAGGAGGTCCACGGCGAGGTTATTGCGGGAAGGCGTGAAGGGAGCGTGAAGCGCCTCTAGACTGAATTGGCATCGCTGGGAGCGGTTCTGCCACGCTGCAGTGCAGTTCAGCTGCCGCTAACGCAGTCAAACCGCTCTTGGAAACATCACATCCATGTGCCTGCTTTCTCAAAAGCCAGTGGGATGTTCTGCTCCACTTCCTGTTATAAATGAGAAGCTTGACTAGGTCAATATTCAAGCAGCTATCAATAAATTAATTAATTAATATGGTAAAGTATGAGCAATACAGCACTGGGTGCAGCGGGGGAAGTTTTCCCTCCAACTGCACACCGATAGTTGGGGCTCACAGGTATTTATGGGGTACTCGTGAGCTTTCTCAGCAGTTTCTGTTCCCAATTTTTACGTCACAATTCTATACATTATTGTGATTTAGTTTTTCTCAGGATGTATCCCAGAAAGGAGTATCCCCAGATGGTGGGGTCCAGCTTCTGAAAGAAGTCTCCCAGCTGGGGAGGTCCAGATTCCAGCTGCGGGTTCACCTTTTAATTGCAAGGACTATAAATCTCATAACAGTGATGTCCAGCTTCCCTTGGTCAAAACTATCAATGCTTGAGTTGATGTTCATCTCTCTTTCTCAAGCTGCTTTTCAATATTTTGTTAAGGTGTCGAGATAAGCATGTTTCCTTTTTATATATTCTAAAGCTATAGTTTCAAAGATCCTTACTACAAGCAATATTCTAAACTTACACTTCAAAAGGTTATTATTGCAAAACTCTTTTTAGCTAGAAGCAGAAAGTTCCTGTCAAACAGCAACGTCCTTAAAGCTTTAATTGGAATGGTCCTAAATCAAGTTAAGACTTATAAAGATTAATTGCAAACACAGGACAGGTCCAAAGGCCTTCTTCCATGCTTTACTCCCTCAGTTATTTATTAAAATTGTTTTTATAACTGTCTCATGGTCGGTTTCCACACATATCACAATCACAGATACATTGCCTCCATGTACCTGACACAAAACACAGCTCTGTATTTCACATTCCCCAGGCCAACAGGAGGGAAAGACACCTGTGCCAGGGATGCCACCAATCCCTGTCCCCCACAGCCTTCCTGTGGCACAGAAGGAAGGCAAGCCCTGCCACACAGCGCTGCCAGCAGCGGCACCAGTGTCCCGAGTCAGCTCCCGCAGCTCCCACTCCAAAACACGAGCCTGGCAGCTCCCAGCTGCAGCCTGATCCAAGAAATGCCTTCCCCAGCAAGAGGGCAAGTGGCCTATCAGGTGGATTTCCTGCTAGGATGGACCAAAGCGTCTTCCCTTATAAATACTTCTTCCTGTAATTGTGGTTGCAGCAACAGTGTTATGTTACTATGTGCCCTTTTGGATATTTTTTTGCTTGTGAAAGGGTCTGAGGTCACGTGTCACAGCTGTTTGGAAAACCAGAATTTTTGTGGTTCCACCCATGCAGTTAATTTATTTATTTTTTATAAAGGGGAAAAAAAAAGGTTGTTCTGGCAGCTTTCTTCCATTTAGATTCTCATTCCAGAGTGGTGTTTTCAGCCCTATTTCATCACCATTTCTCCAAAAACCAAGAACCAGAGTACATAATTAGAATCTGGTTTTGAAGGCTAACTACAGCAACAAAACCCTCCCCTTAGAAAGACTCTTCTGTGGGAATTCTTTCTCTGAAACCATAAACCTCCCCTTCCACTGTAAAATATTTTAGCTGAACCCTGGCACAGATATTTATAGATCAAGCAAAGATTCCTGCAGAATTTTGGGTTTGGTTATCCCAGCTTTTTGGTTTATTTTTCCATAAAACCCTATCCATGTGATGCATAGAATCACATTGTTTCTCCATACAGCTTTTCTAGATTTTTACTGTGAATGATTTCCTTTATTTTGGCAAATCATTTTACCTTTGGAAGCCAGGGAAGTGCCCAGCAGCCATGATACACTGCACACACTCCTGTGAGGAGTGGCTCCACCTCTGGAGTGCAGCCTGGGAATGCAGTGGGTACACTGCTGGCTCCAGGCACGATTGTGTGTTGTAATTACAGATCCCTGCAACAAGCAGGGGCACATCTTCCCTTTCCAGCACCATGATGATGTTACTGAGACAAGAGGCAGACAAGAACCGTTCTGGAAAGCATGGACACTGTGAAATTTTCCTGTCCCATGCACTGGGAATATCTTGAATAAGCATAAAAAGCCAGATTTACTGAGGTTCTGATGTGGCTCCTCCAGTTCGTGCAACACCGGGTGCTCAGCTCCTTGGTGTCTATGCAAAGCAGGAAAAGCTTGTAGGGGAAGGCATTAGGAAATCCCACAGCACAGTATCAGCCAAATCAGAGCAGATCCCAGAAAGCCTTAATCCTCCTCCTGTGGGTTACTGTCAGCATTTCTCCAGTGGATGTTTGATGCTGCCCACAACAGGGCTGGAACAGCACACAGGAGGGTGGGGTGCTGCTCCTTGTCTCAGTGTGCATCCCAGGCACTTGGATCTCTGGACTTTGACACTCGAGATAGGAATCGTGCTTGCCCTTACTTAATCACCTGCCACTGCTGACAGACCTGTTCACACCCTGTCTGACTGCTTCACAGCCAGCCCTGCACTGCTTCCTCAGGAGCTGTGACCTCAGGGCATGCAGAGACACCAGACAGCCTCTCCAGGACCCAGAGTCGTTTCACCTCAACTCTGAAAATGCAGCTCTAACTAGAAAAGTGCTTCACCTGATAAACACTCTACCAATTTCTGTCTCATCTCCAATTTTGGCAGGCTTGGCCACTCATCTCCTGCTGTTGCATGATATTTGCAGTCTGCTTCCCTCTATGGATCTGTGGTACCTGGCTGCCCAGCTCACCCACACGACATAAAACACACGACAGGGAACCTGCAGATCCTTCCCACTCCCAGTTTGCTGACAAACTGAGCCTCTGCTGGCTGCAGTTCCACAGCAAGGGCCAAGAAGGACAGCAGCACAAGCCTCACATGCAGGGCACGCTCCCAGCCCTGGAGGAGCAGCTCTTGGGAAACACCCAAGTGTTTCACTGCATCAGTAACACACAAGGAAAAGCTTTCCAGAGGCTTTGCCCTTCTGCTTTCCCTGCACAGCTCACACATGTCCTTGTCGCCAGAGAACTCACACACACTGTGGGTTTCTAGTACTCTATGCTTACTTAATAAAACAACATAATAATACACATAATAATAATAATAATTTAACCTAATTATAAGATCCTGATTTCAGCTGAGAGTTGAGACATTTCTGAAAGGTTTCTAAGTGGGTAGTGATCACATTTCACTGTCTCAAGCTTCAATTTCTTCTTCCCACAGAGGCAAATGGATTGCTGGCAGGAAAGCAGTTCACCATAGGGCACAGCTATCCTGCAATTACTGGGTCCATCAGCGACCTTGGAAAGGGCTGGGAGTAAAGTTGGTGCTTTTGTAAGAGCAGCCTTTTCTGCTTGACTTCCAGATTTGGGGCAGCGACATCCCAGGAAATGAGACATTTGCCTGCAATAGCACTTAATTTAGCTGCTGAGGAAATTATTACTTTTAACTGTTACGAGTGGCTTTCCCTCTGAAATCTGGGCTGGACCCTCATATTTTTGACACTCCCCAGCTAAATAACCATATCCCTTACAGTGGACTGTAAGCCACTCACCCACACCTGCATGTGCTAATTGTGATATAGGCACATTTTATAATCACACACACACACAAAAACATATTCCTCCTAACTTCAGCTGCACCAAAACCAGCAGTGCAGTCACTCACACCCCTCAGCTGCTTCAGGCTGGGGCTGCTGCTCCCCTGACTCATCTGCTTGTGCAGCAAGAGCCCCGTGACTCAGGGGTGCCAAGCTGTGGGACCCAGCGTCGCTCCGGGCCACCTTTTCCTCTCCACCCAGGTTGCTCCCTCCTTTTCCACAGGTGAATCCCTCATTTCAAACACCTCCTTCCCAGCACTGGCACAGAGCAGTGCTGGAGCCCTCCCTGCTGAACCAGGGAATGGTTTTTTGGGATGGGAGGATGTCACCAGTGGCTGTGGAACAGAGACCTTGCTGGGAAAGGAAGGCAAGGAAGTAGCAGGTCCTGCACTGGGGTGGATGGAAGGCTCTGGCAACTGGAGCAAGATTCCACAGGTTTGCTGAGGGCCTGGCTTGCAGGGCCAAGCCCATCTCATCAGTGAAGCTCCCCCTGTCAGAGTTTTACTACTTTAATTCAGGTTTTAGCTTCTGCAATGCAGATTGCAACAGGAAGAACGCTGTCTTTTCAAGTGCTTGATCTGATACTCTTGAGCATTGCCCACGGAGACTGACACAGTTTTCCAAGCCCTCAGTTTTCTGTACAGCCCTTGAGGCAGCTCCAGGATGAACCAGGTTTACTTGTTCTGCTGCTGCTGAGTGCTGCAAACAGCCCTGGACTACTGGGAACATCTTCTGCACACCAAGGGATAAACACAGGTGTGGAAGCAGCCAGGGAGGAACCCAAAACACACCTGACATGAGCCTATGCTGTTCCCAGCAAAGGAGAACCTGGCAAAAGAAGCCTGGAGAAATGCAAAAGCAGACCAGGATTGTGTTCGCCCTGGCCTTACAAACAAGCAGACAACAAAGCCTGAATCACCATAAAAAGGTGTCTCTGCTTTTATTCAGGGAGAGAATAAGGAGTGGGCAAGGTTACTGACACACATGGCTAGCAGAGTCAGGTTAGTCATGCAGGCCAGGTGCTTTTTATCAGTCACACACTTC